CTCACTAACCAGCTGTGTACTATTCAGCTCTGGGCCTCACAGGCCACGTGTCACCACAATACAAAAGCGTGCCCCTTCCTGGTACAATGGTAGGGATGGTTGGGGTCAAAGGTCAGCCCTCCCTGGGTCTGGCAGCTCTCGGTGTCATTGCTTCAGTCGTTATGCAGAAAAGAGTCCTGATTTTGTGCTGTTTATTATGCACTGAGCGACTCTGCCTGGGGGCTCCAGCATTCCGCTGGCCTTTATTGGAGCCCCAGCGAGCCATCAGATGAGCCATTGAGAGCAGCCAGACACCATCTGCAGTGATAATTCACCAGTGGCAGCAGGGCAGGGACAGCTTGAAAACCTTAGTGTGGCTACAGTTAAACTGCAGGGCAAGCAGGCCAACAACTTCCTCTGAACTGCCCAAGAGTAATCTGGGAGGACAAAAGTAAGGAAACAGCAAAAAGAGGTTTGCTTCAAGTAACAACAGTGTTTCATGGCAACCAAACAAACTGACGTGCAGCGATGGCGTCACTGGTTCGGTTGTCATTCCCTGGTGATTATTCATGTTGTTGTACGTCAGATCTTTTTAAAAGTCACTCTCTCTCTCCCGCGCTCATGCATAAGCTATTTCTGTCCTCTGTCCTTACACCTCGTGCACACCCTGGAATGTTTACCAATGTGTGCACAATCTGATCATACTGGTAGCGGATAGAGTGGGAGTTTTATGGCATGTTTCTCCTTTGCTCCTACAGTTTCCTGATACCTGTCTCCATATTTTATTGCACATGCGTTGTAATTTGGTATGCAACATTTGTGCTAAAGGTCTTACTGTTGCACAAAATGTTTCTGACTGTGCCTCCTCGTGCCTGCATGCTGAAAAGATCACTGGGTGTGCTCCTTCTGCAGAACAAGCCCCTTCACAGTTTCCCCTACAAAGGCCACATTCTCACATGCACTATGTTCATGCAGTCATATGAACTTGATTTGTAAAAAATGTTGCTTCACCGTAAACAGAAATCAGAAAAAAGTCTAAAACGTAATTTCATTAAAACAAAAATAGAAAGGTTAGGTTTACTTGTATTTAAAATTTGGACAGAAAAGCAAGTGCTTTTGACAGAAATCTTCAGATTAACAAAAATACAATTATCAATACATTATTAATAAACTCTAAAAAATAACAAAAAAGATATCATTTGACCACTATGATTAAAAGGCTAAAAGATTTTATTTTCTACAATTTCTGTCATACTCAAAATGTTGGTGTTTGAATACATCTGGAGTGGAGCTGCCCGTGCATTTGCAGCAGGTGTCTGTCTGGCTTGAGCAAAGCTCCACAGCTGCTGTGCTTTGTGTATGTGGAGACAGATTGTCATTTGAAGCAGAATTTATTAGATGTGTGGATGCTCTCGCTCTGCATGGTTCTTCAAAGAAGAATGCTTAAGCAAGTGACTTTTAGCATAAGACCCCCACTTCCCCCTCCCTAGAACAACACTTGTGAAAGTGATCAGGCCCTAACGGCGCGTGTTGGAAAAAGCCTTTCAGTCATATGATCGATGGGGGTGACACATGGGGACCAGCATATGGAACACCCTTTGTCCTGACCCTCCTCTGCTCTCCCTTTTTGTTTTGGTTGGTGGGGTCAAGGCTTCCAACCTCTGTCCCTAATCCTATTAAAAACTCCTCAGAAAGACACTAAGATACAAGGCATTGACATTGTAATCCAGAAAAGCCTGGTGCTGCTGGATTCTCTCCTATTGTCTTTGGTCTCCCTAGTATTTTTGTTCTCGTTTATTTGCTGACATGACTTTGGGTCTGTATTTTCAGTTATGATTTCATGCAGTGGCAAGATGGTAACTTTTTCGAGTCAGCATTACTTAAGCTAACAGTCACTTACTCTCAGTGGTCTATGAAAACCTGACTTGTGCAGTTTAGTTGATGACTTAGCATAGACAGTTAATGAGGGTTACTATTTCTCTCTCTCTGGCTGAGCCATTGTGTTTACCTAGAGCCCACAGGTTATTATGTTGCGTCTGAGTAGCTGTGGTCATGCACACAGGATTACTGCTGCACATATGGGCAGCAGCCAGTCTCCAAAGGACAGGTTATTCATCAGATTGTTGTAGCAGACTTTGGTCAAGTTGGCAACAGGTTTGCTTTGGCATTACCAGAGCTTCAGCATCAGTTTAAGTATTTTCTGTAATGAAACTGAATTTTTTTTTTTTCATCTTTAGAGCAAAGTGCATGTGCAATTAAGTGCTGAACAGGCTCACATGTTAATGGTTTCTTCTTTTTCTGTCTCCTTTGGAATTTGTCAGGCAGTCCAAGCCATTGGAGGATGCATCCCAGCAGAACACCAAGGTGGAGGAATCCTGGGATTCACCCAGTGAGGAAGAGGAAGCTCTGTATGGCACATCACCCCCATTTACCCCTCGTCAAATGAAACGCATGTCTGCCAAACATCAGAGAAACAGCCAAGTGAAAAGCACCGGGCGCTCTCCCAACAAAGGCAAGTCAGAGCTACACTGAGAATTGCACAATTTCCAGAGAAGTTTGTCCATTATAAACATGTAAACAAAACTATGATTTGATAATGAACGTGAAGGTTTTTACTTTTAACCTAAAACTATTTTCTTTCTTCATTTCAGCAGAACATGGCATAGTTCTGAGAGAGACTGCCAAGCCAGTGGAACCCTCAGAGGAGCACAGCTATAAGCAGGGCAAGAAGCACAGGGCAACACAGCGCTCCACAGACAGAGACCACAAAAAGACCTTTGAAGATTCATTCATGCTGGATCCACTGTCAAAGACAAGCCCCTTCGGTGCCCTCAACATGGATCCTAGAAAGCATTACTTGAGCCTGGGCTGCAGCAGTGGCAAACTGCCTGTGACTATGCCTCATATTGCCCGGACTCATCGTCAGACCTCCAGGACTGACTGTCCTGCCGATCGCCTGAAATTTTTTGAGACTCTGCGTCTGTTGCTGAAGCTTACGTCAATGTCCTCCAAGAGGAAGGAGAAGGAGCAAAGGGGTCTGGAGAACATGGCCTTTATGGGCCACCACAATGAGGTCATTTGGTTGGAGCTGCAGGCCTGGCATGCACGACGGTCAACCGGTGATCAAGACCTTTTTCTTTTCACTGCACGCCAGGCCATCCCGGACATCATTAATGAGGTGTTGCACTTTAAGGTCAATTATGACAGCCTGACAGGAGCCCAGAGTTCAGGGTCTGAAACGGTACCAGACGATTGTGGAATCGTACCTGATCAGGTAGTGGTGTCTGGTGCAAAGACTAATCACTGTGGAGTAGATCCTTGGGGCTTCAGCGCCTGCCCCTCTACTGCGATGAATGCAGCAGAACCTCTGGGCTCCGGCACTGATTGCAAGGAACACCTTCAACGCCAGAGGTTAGCTTTCGAGCAGGTTAAGCGAGTGATGGAATTGCTGGAGTCTGTAGAAGCTTTGTACCCCTCACTGCAAGCCCTACAAAGAGAATTTGAAAAATATGCAGCCAGGGACTTCCAGGGCAGGGTGCAGGCACTCTGTCTGTGGCTTAATATCACCCAGGACCTCAACCAGAAGCTGCGCGTCATGGCCACTGTGCTAGGCATCCATGATCTGTCTCGGATTAGGTGGCCTGTCTTTGAAATCCCCTCACCACGCTGCTCACGCGGCAATGAAGAAGAGGAAAATGAGAATGACAACGAGGAGGAAAATGACTCCACGGCCACGTTCACGGCTGAAAGTGAAGGGGAGGAAAGGGATGTGGAAGAGGATGGGGAATTGGAACATGTAGCAGACGGAGAGTTATCTCCCTCCCTGACTCCGAAATTTGCCCGATTACTGTCTGAAGACGAGTTTCTTCCGACTGCTGTTGTAGAAGGAGCTGAATCAACCGTAGGAGGGGAGGTCTTCTGCCCCACAGCCATTTACAGGCCATTTGTGGATAAAGCTCTGAAACAAATGGGACTGCGTAAACTGATTCTCAGACTGCACAAATTAATGGACCGCTCTCTGCAGCGCTCCAGAGCGGCGCTTCTTCGCCACACACCTACACTGGAGGTGAGAGGGAAATATATAGAACTCCACCAGACGACAAAACCGTCACAATAATAATAATAAAAAAAGGTTTAACTCTCTGTTTGCCCCAAACCATTTTTTTTACAAACAGATACAAGTACGTGTATTTTCTTTTTGTACACATCTTTTACTGATGCTTCTTATCATTGATTTTCATTCAGAAAATAAATTGTAAGCATTTGTTTTATAGGTGGCACAGCTCTGTGGTTAATAGGGTGAGGTGTCGAGTGTGTGTGTTAGCTCAACCCAAACTGCAGTGAAGACACCAAACAGGAAAATCATTTTCTTAACATCAACAACAGGCATTGAGAGTTAAAGAGATGAAAATAGTATTCAAAAAGCATTTGAATAAAGTATCATGCCTGATATTAAGATATATCCCTGGTTAGAACAGTTTGTTACAATTAGTTTACTGTTTTATCCCACACAGTACAAACAGTGTGAGTGTAATGTTGCATTTCTGAGTATCCTCCCGTTTGAAAATGTTCCCTTTGACAACATGGAACTCCACAAGTTTGTGCAAAACAAAACACAGATATTTTTATTTGTCAATTTGACAGTTAAAACCTGTCTGTATACACTTTTTATAGTACAACCACAAGTATTCCTAACACTCGGGTGTTAATCTCATTTGTGTTTCCTTAGATACTTTTGTTTAGTATGTGGCCACATCAACAGTCTTTTCCTCAGCACAGTCTCTGCAACTATAATAGTATTTCTTCTAATACATTTTTTACATTTTTTCCTTCATGAGCTGCAAACTTTGTACATACTAAAATAATTAAGAAGAACATGCTGACTGTTGTCTTCCATTGTACCCTTTTTATTTGGAGTTAAAGCCCTTGACACAACATTGTTAGTGTTTACCAAACACACACTGACTGCAAACCTTAAGGAGATTCTCCTGCTCAGCAACCTACTAGCATAAGACCAAATACCATCTACCTAACGTCACAGATCTTTATTTAGACTATTGTATGAACTTGCTATTTTATCAACCTGGTGATTATCTAACTGATAGATAACTGTTTATTTTAGCCCTGTTTAATTTTTTTTTTTCTCAAACTCAGAACCAAGAACGCAACATATGTTTTTGCTAGAAATCAACAACCACAAAAAGAGGTCACTGAGCTGGTTATTAACCTAATGAAAACATTCATAGTTCACACAAGGTTCATAGTTGTAGTTAATTGGCTAAAACAATAACTGTCAATCAAACATAAGTCATGAAAAGGTCACCTTTTAAGAAAACACTTTAGCACTGTGTGGATGACAGACACATTGAAAACTCCCTGAGCTGACTCATCTTATTCTCTCTTCCACCTGCAGTTTGCAGATTTCCCAGATCCCATGCTGTACAGTGATTACCTGCCAGAGCTGTCGCGTCACCTGTCCTGCAGCGGTCCTGCTCATACAAAGATGGGGGTGGACCAGGTCTCCTGGGAGCATTTGCTGGACATGGACCTCCCGTCTTTCCGACCTGCGTTCCTCGTGCTGTGCAGGGTTCTCCTCAATGTTATTCATGAATGTCTTAAGCTGCGACTAGAACAGAGACCTGCCGGAGAGCCGTCATTGCTCAGCATCAAACAGGCAAGCAGCAGGAGACTGGAGACTGATGATGACTCACTAGTTACAGCATCTGTTGACATCATTATCACTGTGTGCTGCATTATTACTATCTTTTGTGTTTAGACTAATTGATTAATTCTTGTGCTATTTTTGCGGTGTAGTTGGTGCGCGAGTGTAAGGAGGTTCTCAAAGGCGGTCTCCTGATGAAGCAGTATTATCAGTTCATGTTACGTGGCGTTGTCACTGATGCCCAGGGCCTGCAGACCAACGCTAACATTGATGAGTTTGAAGAGGACCTACACAAGATGCTGGTGGTAAGATTACTGCACTCATCACCATCAGCTCAATCATTCCTAATGGATCAATACTTAGAAATGTACGAATGATTAAAATGTATTAAATGGAAACTCCTGTTCTTCAAAAGGTTTACTTCGACTACATGCACAGTTGGATCCAGATGCTGCAGCAGCTGCCTCAGGCCTCTCACAGCCTAAAGAATTTGTTAGAGGAGGAGTGGAACTTCACAAAGGTCATCACTCCTTACATCCGTGGAGGGGAAGCCCAGTCTGGGAAGCTTTTCTGGTGAGTCCCTCTAACCCAGTGCTCTCAAGCATTTTCTGCCCCCTTTGAAGATGAGACTATCATCTTCCACATCAGGAACTTTACTTTAAACTGAAATTATTCCTCTCCAGTCAATCGCTTTGCACCCACTGAGGGGTCCCTGCCCCCCATTTTCAGAATCAATGCTCCAATCTGTGGCGTGTTATAAAAAAGTAACTCCTTCACTGACCCGATTCTGTTAGACTAAGGTTTGTTCTTCTCTTGATAGTGACATTGCAGGGATGCTTCTCAAATCCACTGGGGAGTTCCTGGATGCTGGCCTGCAAAAAAGTGGTAATGAATTCTTGGAAAGTGCAGATGACAGCTCAGCCTCAGATGAGATTAGGTAAGGAGCCAAACATGAAACATTATAAGACAGTTATTATTGTTTTTGCTCAGCAGTAGAGAGACAATTTAAAAAACTTTTTTTAATCATTTAGACGCTCGGTGATCGAGACGAGTCGGTCTCTGAAAGAGTTGTTCCATGAGGCCCGGGAACGGGCGTCCAAGGCTCTGGGATTTGCCAAAATGCTGCGCAAGGTGATGAAATACATTACGAAATAATTTATGAAAATGAATACATTATGATACTAAATCTTAATATTGACTGACACATTTTATGTGGTTTTTCCTCTCTGTAGGACTTGGAAGTGGCTGCTGTTTTCAATATCACTAATGGCATACCTTGTCTCCTCGAGACACTAAAGAAGAAAAACTACATCAAGGTATGTTTGCTATTTCTGTTAATATTATAATGTTGTTATTATTTTCCATTTATGTACTTTTTTTTTTTTTTGCTTGTGCTCAGGTTCAGATCCCAGGCTTGGATGAGCTACAGATCTTCGTCCCCTCTGGTCTGCTGGATCAGCGCCCCCTCATCCTGCAGCTTCTGAACGCTGCAGTAGGCAAAGACTGCTCCAAGGAGCCAGAGGAAATTGCTGACGACGAGTCGTATCTGCTCATGAGCAAACTCAAAGCTGATTCCACCACTGATTCAGATTGGGCCCAATGGGACGGAGAGCTGCTGAAGCTGGTTCCACAAATGGAAACTGTTGACACTTTAAGAGCCATGAAGGTGTGTTTAAGTGTACAAGTGTGTGTGCATTTTTGATTGGTTGTATGCATGTATAATCTGCTAACCCGCCCTCAGGTGGAGAACATGCTGTTGATAGTAATGCAGTCAGCTCACCTGGTGACCCAGAGAAAGGTATTTCAGCAGTCCTTGGAGGACGTGCTCACTCTTAGCCGAGAGCAAACATCAAGTCAGCCTCTCATCGCCAGCGCGCTGGAGGAACTTAAGGTATTGTCATAGGCACCAATCGGGTTCATGGAAAACACTACAGTTTGTCCTTATACAATCCATGTGGTTCGTCTCCCACAGGATGAGGCCTTACAGCTATGCATCAAAATCAGCACTGCCATTGATCAAGTGGAGTACATGTTCACTACAGAGTTTGAGCCAGAAGTGGAGGAGTCGGAGTCAGCCACTCTGAATCAGTACTATAGAGAGGCAATGATCCAGGGCTACAACTTTGCCTTCGAGGTGAGAGACAGTAGAGCGTGAGAGGCAAGAACCTGGAACATGCGGAATGTTCTAACAGAAGTCATGGTCTGACTGCAAACGTTTCTCCAGGGCTTTGGTTTAGTCAGAGCAGCTGTAACTTTGCAGTAATTTAATACAAACGTATTGTTGGCATGTTTGTTCTTGACAGTATCACAAGGAGGTTGTTCGGCTGATGTCAGGAGAGTTCAGGCAGAGGATTGGGGAGCGTTATATAGCTTTCGCTCGCAAATGGATGACCTACGTCTTGACCAAATGTGAGAGCGGCCGAGGCACCAAGCCCAGGTGACGCTTTACCTTCTACCTGTAGTCAGATGCTATGTTTGGTTTGGCAGCTTTTAGTGATGTTGCACATGGACTTTAACAGTTCTTCTACAGCAGGAGAGAGAGAGTAGAAAGGGTTTCTCAACAATTTTTTTCAACTTTTTTACAAACCCAGAATTATTGAGAAAAACATTTAAGGCAACCCCCCCCTTCCCCCCCAAAAAAACAGTTTTTTGTTTGTGATGTTGCACCTACAGGTGGGCGACTCAGGGTTTTGATTTTCTTCAGGCCATTGAACCTGCCTTTATTTCAGCATTACCTGAAGATGACTTCCTGGTAAATGGCCTTTTTTACAGCATGATTCAACACATTTTCTTAGTAATACTCAGATGACACACAGTTATTGTGCAATAAATTCACATGATTTCTCATACAGAATCTACAAGCTCTGATGAATGAATGTATTGGACATGTGATTGGAAAACCCCACAGTCCCGTCACTGGCCTGTATATTGGTAAGATGTGTGTTGTGATTGTGATTTGATTTTAGATTAACTTTGGTGTTTATGTTTTGTTTATAACTCGGTTGTCTAGGTAATAGACAGTCACATGACTAAAACCACAGCAGTGCTATTAAAGTCCACTTTCATCAGAAAAGTGAATAAAATGAAAAGAAAATGGTGTTTTACTGATATTGTGCATGTTTGCTCAGCAAACATTATCATGAAGCTAGTGGTGCCTTGTTATTCTGTCAGATTATATTCTGTTATTTTTTTCTTAGTCCCCAGAAATAGTCCTCGTCCTGTCAAAGTCCCCCGCTGCCATAGTGACCCACCAAACCCCAATCTGTTCATCCCTAATGCTGAAGGATTCAGGTAAGTAACAAACAAATGTTTTACTTCCCTGCTCCCACTGTGTCTTTCTGTAATAGTCTGTGTTGCATGGCCTTGTTCATTGTTTTGCTTCCTACTCCGTTTGCTCTGTTGTCTGTTAAACTGGCGTGGGTGTGTGTGTGTTAGTTTATGTGTGAGAGTGCATACGTGCGTGAGCACGCACGTGTACCTTCTGCAGTCATTCATACACAAACATATACACAGACATATCCCACGTCAGCCACCTCTGCCTCCCAGGTCAGAGCTCCTCAGTTTGTTTTTTCACCACAGCTCTCGAAGTCTGCCCTGCGATCTGCGGAACCAGCTGTTCCCCAACGGCCCCCGGCCCGTCCCTCAGGGCCCAGGGGAACACAGCCACACCAAGGCACCAGGCAGTGCCCCGAGTGATGCCAGGTAGTCTTGCCCCCCCCCCCTTCTTCTAGCCACCTGAGTAAAAACTGTTGTCAAAACACAGACTCGAAATGCAAAAAAAACACATGGATAAATCCACTATGAGACACTCTTTGGCATCTTTATTGAATGTTGAGGCATTGTGACTGTACTTAAATTATTATGCAATTCTTTAAATAATGACTAGAACTGTGGTTATGCTGCATGGTGTTATTTAAAAAAAATCAGCAGATACAAAAGAAATACATGCTAAAATGGACTGGAAAACCAGTGTTCCTTCAATGTAGTGTATGGAAAAGCCCCACGTGTTATCAGATTACAGACACAGTCTCACGCAACTCCTGCTGCAGGTCAAGTGATGTTGTTCTGCATGTTGTTAATGAGTGGAACACACACACACACACACATTACCTCATTCAAGTAGTGGCCTATGATACTGTTACTTTTCACTGCTGTTAACATTAGTCTCGCTTTATGCCGACAACTTATCACTACATAGATTTTCTGGTGCATTTGTTTGAGCTGATTAAATCTGAACATGCACTTAACCCTGTCACTGTCTCTAATGCATGTTGGTGAGATTTAAAAGGCCTAACTGCACAAAAGCTGAATGTCTGTTTGTATTGAAATATCACATGATGATGTGCTGTCAGCTCTGGTTGAGAAAAATATGAGTGATGCCTTTTGTAACAGTTTACAGGCACAAGTGATTATACACAAAACCTGTAAAGACTTTTCTTCTTCTCCAGTGTGTCTTTGATCAAGGATCTCTAAGCTTTTGCATGGCTGATCTGATTTATCCTAACCTGCAACCTGATAGTTCTGTGTTTTAGAAATACAGTTTTCTGTTTCTGATTGAACCGCAATGTTGTATCAGTTTCCTCCATGTCTCTGCAGGGGTTCCAATTACCATGAAAATGACCGTCTGTCGACGGTGGCAGCAGAGCTGCAATTCAAATCCCTCAGCCGCCACTCCAGCCCCACAGAGGACAGAGAAGGTGGGGGCACCAAGTGTTTTGATTATTGTATCCAATGATTGTTCTGGGATAATAGCACTGTTGTTTTTACTCAAAGTTTAAAACTCTAAATAAACTATAAAAAAAGTTCCATTACTCTACTTGAGTTCACATCGTCTTAAGTTGTTTTTACATTCTACAGTAGAGGGTGCTAGAAGCAGAAATCTCTTTGATTCTGGTTTTGTAAGAAACATAGGTACTACCTTAAAATCCTTCTAGACATAAAATGACATAATTCTGCTTTTTAAACATTCCTTGTGCTATTTAGATTTTGTTGTAATTATCATAAAAAAAAAAAAGCTTAGCATGCCTATAAAAAAAAAAGAAATTCACTGTCCTTAATTTTTTGCTTCAGAACCTTCATATCCCAAGGGTGATCCCAACAGTGCAGCACGACGCAGCTGGGAGCTCCGCAACTTCATCACCCAGTCTAAAGGTTAAGATTGTTGACATTATTGAAGGTTCATACAGTTATTTTAAGCCTTGGACTGATTTTTTTTAAAAAAAAAATGATGTATGTGATTTTAGACACAGCAGCACGTCAAAGCCCCATGGAAGCCGTCCGTCGCTCTATTCGCAAATTTGAGGACAAACGCTACGCCGTGATGAAGCAGCGCAACATTATCGGCCAAGTGTGTCACACTCCCAAGTCGTACGACAATGTCATGCACGTTGGGCTTAGAAAAGTGACCTTTAAATGGCAGAGGGGCAACAAGATTGGTACGACTAACTTCTGACTGCAACAACTGTAAATGTGATGCAACGTAGTGAAATGGGTATTTATTATGTTCCTGTGTGTAAACAGGGGAGGGCCAGTATGGTAAGGTGTACACTTGCATTAATGTTGACACTGGAGAACTGATGGCCATGAAAGAGGTATGTGTCGAAAAATAACTGGTGTTTTAAAATATTCTGAATGACATAGATTGATACATTTTTACTTTTTTTTTTTGAAACCAGATTCGATTCCAACCAAATGATCACAAAACAATCAAGGAGACGGCAGACGAGCTGAAAATATTCGAAGGCATTAAACACCCAAACCTCGTTCGATATTTTGGAGTTGAGCTCCATCGAGTGAGTAACACATGATTATCTCAGTTAAGACAATTTAGGTGTGGTTTTGGTCCATTTTGATGGAAAGAAAATCCTTTTTTTTTGTAGGAGGAAATGTACATTTTCATGGAGTACTGTGATGAGGGCACTCTAGAGGAGGTGTCCAGACTGGGCCTGCAGGAACACGTCATCAGACTGTACAGTAAACAGATCACAACAGCCATTAACGTCCTCCATGAACATGGCATTGTGCACCGGGACATCAAAGGTCAATATCACTGCTTCTCTTCTTTTCTTTCAGAACATTTTAACATTTTAAGTCAATGTCCTCATTTGGTTCTGTTTCCTACCAGGAGCGAACATCTTCCTGACATCGTCTGGTCTTATCAAGTTAGGAGACTTTGGCTGCTCAGTCAAGCTGAGGAACAACACTCAGACCATGCCTGGAGAGGTGAACAGCACACTGGGAACAGCAGGTAACAGCTTTTACCCCCATGTTGCACTGCCTGTCTACCTGCAGGGGTCACTGTTTTCACAGTTTGTAATTTTGAATGTCATGGTGTATTCCTTTTATTTGTTCATGTCATTTATTTTTACTTTGTTTTTGTTTTTTATCAGCCTATATGGCACCTGAAGTCATCACAAGAGCAAAGGGCGAAGGTCATGGCCGAGCAGCTGACATCTGGAGTTTAGGCTGCGTTCTCATTGAGATGGTGACAGGAAAGGTAATAAACTTAAACTTAAGTCGATGAAACCAAAATGAGATATTTGTAAGAGAAAGAAAATGAATGTAACTTTGGCAGAAAGGAAAAATGTGAGAATGAAAGAAATAAAATAATAATATATTATAAAATAACATCTGCTTTAGTTTAGTAAGTATTTTTCTTAGTATTTTTTATTTTGCTATCAAGTAATTATTAAAAGATATGATAAACTTTTTAAAAAAAGGTTCTCTCATCTGTTGTAAGTGAAAAGCTTTTTTCTTTCATATTTAAAACAAAAGCTTTTGAAAATAAATGAATTTGGAGATCCAGTTAAAAAATCTGACAGTTCAGTACAATCATCGCTCTCCTTTGAAATTGAACAACAAGAGCAGGGCCTTAAAATGAATGTTGTCCTTCAGATTGTGTGAGTCAAAAACAAGTGTTCAGTACAGACAAAAATTCTCTCATCCTTTCAATATTCAGAGACCTTGGCATGAGTACGAGCACAACTTCCAGATCATGTACAAAGTAGGCATGGGCCACAAACCTCCTATCCCAGAGAAGCTGAGCACAGAGGGGAAGGACTTCCTGGGACACTGTCTGGAGAGTGAACCCAAACGCAGATGGACGGCCAGCATGCTGCTAGACCACCCGTTTGTCAAGGTGAGACCATAACACATAAATGTTTACTGTGCCATAACAGTAATTACCAAACCAAGAGCTGGCACTATCATTTATAGAACACTAGACAATCAGTGGTTGTTGTGTTAGTTTAAGAGCTCAATCTGGTATGAACCACAGGGAGAAAAAAAACAGACCTTAGCTGCTAGCTAAACTAGCATGAACAGCACTTGCTCACAGTGTACTGACAGAGTAAACCTTGGTGTGTCATTGTATTACTCTTGTAAAACACACAAAATGGTTGAAATATTTATAGAATTTGTTAGCATAGTTACTCAGTATTTAGCATTAACCACTAACTTGCTGCCTCTTTGGTTTTAACCTGAAAGTAGAATAAGAAGAAACATACTTGTTACACTACTAAGTGGAGTGAGTGAGATGTCATGACTTAAATGAACAGATTATATTTTTTTTCCAGGTTTGTACAGATGAAGAATGAGTGAGCAGCTCGGATGCTATCAGGTTCACACATTAAAACGCACTACTGTACATGCTGCTGGCAAAAATTCCTAACAAAACTGTGGACAAATGAGTTGTTGTTAAAAGGTTGACGGCACATGGAGCTAAACTGAGGAACTAATATACTGTATCATTTCAGCTGACGACTGGACCTGTGTAGTACCGGGTTGTTATGTCTTGTGTATTCACGGACATCAGGCGAAGAGGGGTACAGGGTGGGACTGTACATACTGTATGAATAGTATTTGGCTTAAATGCTTTGTACAAACAATATTGTAAAGTTAAAGTAACTATTACCACACTTGTTTTCACTAGTTCAGCGACCTCTTTAAAAAGGCATTGAGGAAATACCTTTAAAAAAATGGCGTAAGGGGGTTCAGTTCTATGGCACTTTTAAACTGTTTACCCATCGGGGCAGTTCAGCAGAGAAGGGTAATTTATGTCAGTGGCCACGCAGGGCAGGAGGATAAGTGGGTAAATCCCTCTGAATCAAACAGACACTGGTTTATCTTAATGAAGTTAGCATCGTTCAGATACTGGGAAGGATTTTTGTCTTGTGTGTGTCTTTTGTTTTCTCCGCCCTTCGCTGAGGAGTAAAAAAAAAAAAAAAACGTCAAGTTGAGGTATATTGAAAGTCCGTTCACTGTTCAAGACCTGACCATGACTGCAGCGGAAACGCCCGAAAGAAGCGCAGCCTGCTGCCGCCGCCATTGCTGCTGCTGCTGATTTAACACAAACCTCCTACACAACCAGACACAAGGACTCGCACCACAACTTCTGCTCTATGCTGCTCTTATAGTGTTTGCTATGTACAAACAATATTAATAAACCAATTTGTTTTTTATAGAAGTGATGTTTTTATTCAAAAGCAATAATGTTTCTGTCCTTTCTCTAAAATGGTCCATTTTCAATCAAATGCTATAGACTTGGTGTAGTCCTGTTGACTAAGGGAGCATAACGAAACACACACACACACCCCATCTTATTTCACACACCTGCCTCAACACTAACAAGCACTTTAGCACTCAGGTGTGGTAAAATGTCTCATTGGTGAAGTCCCAGTTGACACAAGGTGTGGTTGGGATGGTCTTAAGTTTGAAGGTTCAAAAAGCAGTGAATATTTGATACTATTTAAGATTCCTTATGAGAATTGACTTTAGATAAATATTTGTTACTTGGAGATAACAATTAAATCAAAGGCTGAGATTTGGTTCTAAGTTGTAAAAATAAATTTTAAAAATGTCTTGTTTTCAGTTTGCGTGCAACTACCAGAGATTACGGTTGTGGGTGAGTGAACTTCTTTCATTATGTGTTTAAGTCATCTGATCAGTGGGAGTAAAGTTGCCAAATCTATGTATTTTTAAGGACTGTAGTAGACAATGAAGTGATGTCAGCAAATTTAGTTGCTACAGAGGCTAATGCAAAAAGCCCAGCACTAATCGGTCAGTTGTTCACATGGGAGGATATGACATCCTGGTGTAGCTCCTGCAATAATCGGTGGGAGCATCCGTTATGTTAAATATGATAACATACAATAAACAAATCTGAATTTAATTACTTTTGCAATTATGTTATAAACAATTACAGGACCTGTTCAGCAGATTATAATCTGGGGACTTTTAACTGTCAAGTTAAAGACACACAGTGAAGACCAACTCCTGATCATATTAAAATAAAACAGGAAAAAAATATATTAGAGAATAGCAATTTATTGAGACCAACACACCAGAATCAAACATTACTTTGGTATAAAACACAGATGCACATCATCAAGTTTTAACAAAACTGCACATTTACATTAGATGTCATCTGGAACAGGTAACAATCAAAAAAAGTTTTAGTCTCTTACAGCTTACATATTTATGATTGTTTTAATGAGTGAGCCGCCCTTACTGTTTGTATTCAGGATAGAAAAATGGCATCACGGTGATCAGTGGTCATTTTCTGAATGGCTTAAGCGAAACCAAACTAAATATATCAAATATTTACACGTGTCAAATGTAAATATATGACGGAAGTTATAAGGGGGTAATTATTATCATACAATTATTGCCTTAAAATAAAGCACACATTTTTATCCTGTGTTAGTAGCGACAGTCAGACTTCATCGAACTCTTTTTATTATAAACGGTATCCAGAATTTATGCCTTGCGTCAGGTTAGCATGCAACCGCCAGAGGTCAGTGTAGGAAGTGGAGGTGTCAAGTTGGAGTGTTTGGACTGCTGAAATGTGAAATGCACCATCATCAGACACTACTGTTTACAGTCAACACGTGCGTCATTGTGCAAGAGCTGTCAACAGCTCCTTATAATGTTACTGTAATGTTGTGTTTATCCAATCAGATCCAGTACGAAACAGTGTTGACCTTTTTGGGTCATTTTAGAAGAAATAATGAAGTGTCAGGTGTTTTTCATTGTTGTTTTTTCAAATCTAGTACCTAATGAAGCAGCTGCTGTGACTTTACTCTCTGCTCGGCACAAAAACACTGACACACACTAGCGCAATTAAATTAACCAATATAAATGTACCAAAAATATACCTGTTTTATACTATCATCCCACCATTTCACACATTTTGACATCCAAAAAATGTCATCTTCAAATTTATTGCAAGTCCCTGCGACTGATATAAAACAGATTTTAGTGATGTAGCGTTTCCATTTTGTTCTTAACAAGGTCATCTGTCAAGCTTGACTGACAAGGTCCTGCCAGTCCAAGGCCTGTGGATGAGCAGCGTTGCACAGAAGCAGCTCAAAATCAAGTCAGGAATATTTAATTGTTGTTCAGGGAAGCTGGCTTATTTCCATAATTGGAGCTTCTGTTGATTTCTGTCTGGCCGATCATCCAACGAACTCCCAGTGATGCTGTGGAAGGAGAATGTCCAATTAGTAGATAACTTAAGCCGCCATCACATTTTTCATCTTGTGCACCCTCTAGTGGCAACTGGTGCGTCCCCTCAGGTGCATCACTACACTGACTTAAGGCAATAAAAAAAATCAGGTGGCAGGATGTTTTTTGTCTTTTATTTTTAACCTGCAAACAACTTAAAAATTTCCACAGTAAATTCTCTCACAGGATATGGGTTTTATGGCTGAATTTGCTACTGAGTCTTTAACCCAACAGTTTAGTCGGTCAACAACTAGATACATTCCCAAATTCAGTTCTGCATTACCCGAGTTTTAGCAAATATTTAACGTTGATGTTTATCTTTTGATACAACTCAATCTTGGAAGGTTGTTTATTGTGGAAAGTGCTAACATGGTCCTTCAACTTCTGTATTAAAGGTCTCTGTATAAACAGCTTAGATGGATCACTGCTGTCGAATGTGGTCCAGGAGCTAAAAACGTGCCTGGATGCTGTTGAGGACATGCTCCAAAGAAATTCAACATATTTTCCAAAAAAGCAGGACTTACATTTGAGACGTCAGATCTGCTGCGAAACATTTGAACAAAAAGGTTCAAACTGGTTCAACTGAGGGAGGGACTCAAATCCAATTCCACACTGAATCTACCCAGGACTAACCTGCGGAGCAGAGAGCCACTGATACTACAAGGGTGAGAACAGATCCTGAGCTGACGAGCTGACTGAGAAGCAACCCTAATGGGTAGAGGAGCAGGCAGGACCAGAAGAGCCAGTTGATCAGGGTCCAAGGTCGGCGTGCAGGGCTCACTATGGGGCCAGGGTATCGTCCAGTCTGTGCGTAATGTTCCTGAAAGCTGTCCTGCAGGGACAATCATTTTACATCCACAGTGTTAAAGATACAAGTGTTGAGATAAGGATGATCAACGTCCAGACAACGTCTTCTTATCAATTTACAACAAGAGTTAAATAGTAAATCATCCCACGTTTAACATATTCCACACTTGGCAACAAATTTAAAGGAGACATTTTAGACTTCTTTTCTGCCAAATTAATACAGTTCTCTTGGTAACATTTTATGGTTTGAAAAACACTTGGTTACACTAGGTCAGATAGAGATCAGTTTCATAAAGTGACTAGCTTAAAATAAGGGAACACACAAAACCACAGATAGAGGTTCAAAGTAGTTTTTGCTTCAACAACAATTCACTCCTACCTTCTCCTGGTAGAGTTTGTGGAGCCAAGCAGCACAGTCTGCCTCATCTTCTGGGATCTGCTCTAGAGGGATTCTCCTATGAGGAAGTCAGATCTCTCAGATAAAGATGGTTCAACGCCCAGTGCAGCGGGAAATAAACCAGAGCCAAGATGTGTACCAGTACCTCACATATAGATCTGCATGATATTTCTTTCCATTTAAAATCCCAAGCAGTGAAGGCGTTTCATTGTTTCTGAAGTTCAGTGTTGAATCATAAACGGCCGCAGCTACTCAGTTACATGCAAAACAAACAGCACAGGTTTAAAGTAAAAAAAAAAAAAAAAATGTTTTTATTGTTTTGCTAATCATGTTAGTAGTAGAAGCTTGAATATGAAAATACCATGTACTAACATAGTATTTGCATATGTAAGCCTCTCAGCATAGTTTTATACTCACCGGATCCTCTGAGGTTTTGGACAGTTACCCAGAATCCTTTAGTCCTGGGCAGCAGATGATACTTCAGCTTGGGTAGACCTTTACTCTCGGCCACCTGCATGCTGATCTGGTGCTTCTTTTCTGTGAAGCGAGTTCCTTCACAGAAAAGCAAGAACTAGGACCAGGAGTAAAGTGTTCCTTAGTAAAGTAACTAGTAAAACCACTAATGTGCTTAAAACAACAATTGTTTTGTGAAAACACACACAGGCTGCGACTCACCCAGAAGTTTTCAGGGTAGTCATGCAGGTTCTGAAGACTTTCAGCCACTGTTCTCCGGTCCTCCTCCCATCTTCTCTTACAGAAAACAATCTCCAGAAAGTACCAACTCCAACCGATTACCGGAACATAAGCCAGCTCCTTCTTGGCCAAGACTTTGGAACTCTGGAAAGTTTCAAATTCAAAGTTACACAATTCTAAATTTGACAAAGCAATGTTTCAAATGTTTCTTTCTTTTACCCCTAGAACTCCAAATCTTTCACAGAACGTCCAGCCACAAAGGAAGTCAATCTCAAAACTATGATTGAGAACCACAACAGCATTCTCCTTTCCATAGAGTTCGTAACTCTTTGGATCGGTATAGAGCGTGCATTCTGTCCCCGACCACCACTCGAGGGCAGCTACCAACTCTATATATCACAGACACATTGAAGAAAAACAGATTAGTAATCTTTAACTACACACTTGTTTATGACCTACGCAGTAAAGAATAAGAGCAGCACTTACGGCTGTTGATGCAATAGGCCAGTCTGATGTTGATCCTGCGAGCCAGCTGCTTACTGACCAGCCACAGAGGTAGAGTACAGACCTGCAGTAGGTTGATAATGAGGCCACTGACCAAGAACACATAGCCGGCGAAGAGATGGCACAAGAACTGGGATTTAATCATCTGCAGGAGGCCCATGGTTCTGGAAAGAAAGCACAACTAACAGCATAAAAAACACACAAGCACCGGCAGTCGGCAGCTGTCCAGAAGTTACATTACTTTTTTTTTTTTTAACTATTTGTATTGTACTTTGTTATACTTTTGTTCGGGTCTTCTGGGAGATGATTGACATGCCACAAAAAAAATACTATGCTATTACTACTGCTACTAAAGATTTATGTGTAATAAAAGTAAACATTTTGTAGGTAAATTTTATTAATTTTATATATAAAAAAAATTTAATTTCCCTCTGCGGTGACTTTATAACCTGTTTACAGCCCAGTTTGGGCAATATCTTGTGAACCATAATAGACCTCGACCTATACATTGTATATAAGGTATAGGCTGTATATTTGTGCTGGAATCAAAGATTTATATTTTACTGCCCTGCTAACGAATATAATTTAAACACTATATACCATTTAAACACGAACACAAAGTCGTAAGAAAACACCAAAAGGCGTATTTTAAGTTATGAATTGGAAAGAAAACAGTGTTACAACGCTGAGAGTCATGTCTGACACATGTGACACTTTGTACCTTAGTAAGTCTTTATATTCTCCGCCGAAATGTCCCGTTGTCACACTTTCACAGCTTGGTCAACGAGATTATCAATCACATTCACTTCATGTTTAAGCTACTTAGATTTTTAACTCCTCTCATTCATGTCATGCTCATATGAAGTGAAGCCAATCTACAGGTTGACAGCCAAACTTCCCTGAGCATTCAGCCAGCCACACCTATCAGAGAGCCCCGCCTAATCCTGGGGATGATGGTGACATCCGCGGACTGTGCTTCCTTCTAGAATCAAGCGAAGGCAGCTCCAAAGATCGTTTATGCATAGAAAGATGAGTTAATGTTTAGAAAGCAGCAGGGGGGTGTGCTACCATTACCTTTGAATACGACAAAAACTTGTATGAAATAGATACACAGCACCAGAAAAGTTTGGAATCCCTGATATATGTAGTTTATCCGTGATTCTGCTTTATCCCTATTCTTGAAAATGTTTTTTTTTTTGTATATAGCTAGATTGTTACGTGTACTTTTCACGAAACCTTACTTCAAATACCCATTTTATTGAATTACATTACATTACATTACAATTATGTCTAGTTCTACCATGTGTCTTCCCTGCTTCTGTAACCATTGACTTTCCCCGGTGTGTGGTTAGTAATGTCTTGTCTATCTTATCTTGACTAATTTTGTTAGGTCGTCGTGTACCGAGGGTTCATCTTGATCTGTTGTTATCTTTGTTGTCGGGTGAGTGTCTACGCAAGCGCACCAGCTTTCCGTCATCATAGACACTTCATTGTGTTAGATGAGGTAATACATCCGTTTTCATTTTTTCCAAGTATAGGACGAACTTACTCTTAACTTGGCTCTAAGTTACAGCTATAATGATTCTACAGAAAAAAGTTACCCTGAGTTCGGTAAACAGGTCCCCCTAATGATTGATAGTGTGTCAGTCACTTGCTACACGTTGTATTATTGTGCAGGTCCTTATCGATCCAAGTCATTTATCGTAAAAAGTCCAGATTAAAAGGCCCTGGTGTTGGTTTTCACATGTGATCACGTGTGATGTCTAGCCGGTTATAACTTATTGTTATTATTAAAATATGTTCGTTAGCCTCTAAGTGGCAGATAAAACAGAATCGTAGTGGTAGGTATCCACACCTTGCAACACTCACATGGTATGAATGTAGAATTAATGCAGCAGGTGACATTGCTGAGGCACAAATCTGCCTTTCAGTGTTGTGAAGGAGAGTTTTCGACAAGAATGTGACAAGAAGTACAAAAAATAGCACTGACATCAATTCACAGATTTAGTGAGCTATTTCTCTTTTTTTCTTCCAAAGCTCCCAATCGACATTTGAGACAATTACCTAGTGTTACCACCAGAGGGAAGCATTGTTGCACTAATCAAGGTGCTGACGGAATACATGAGAAACAAACACAAGAAATACACTAGCCCTACGAGATGTGTTAATGACAACAGATTTGTTTATTTTTGTCTGATCACTTTGCTCTTCATTTCAACTGTAAAACAAAAGCGAAGGTTGATTTTGGATTGATTTGCATAAAGAGCATCAGAGATGTGGAACAACAGGTTGCATTAGAAAATCCAGAATAACAGGTGTGTATGAAGACATGTTGAAATACCTGCACTGGTTTGATCAATCCAAACTCTAAGCTTTCTTCCTGTCGTGTTATCACAGTGTTCTTTTGTCCATTGTGTGGTAGGATGCTTTGAAAAACAGGAAATTATTGAAAATGTTTTAAATTAAATGGTATGATTTTTGTTTTACATTAAATTTTATTTAAACACATTAAACACAACAATGTATACGGAGATCTTATGTATGGTTTGTTTATTTAAAAAAGATATGAAGATTTTAAGTATAATTCCACTTTAGATTAACTGAAAAAGATATGTTGGAATCATGTATATTTTGGAGTAACAACCAAATAAACTCTCATACTACTATAATGTTCCTTATCTGTACCTGTCAGTCCCTCTGTTGTAATTACTCTAAAAATAAATAATCATTAAAGTGAGGTAATAAGACTGACCATGGGAGTTTCTCCTTTACGTGTCATTTATTTCATAACCAAAGCACATTCATGAGGTCATAGGATTCCGGATTGTGCTGCACAGAAAATCCTGCACTAAAGTTACATCAATGTAAGAAATGTTGATTTCCTTTTAATGACATGCTGCAGTTGAAGTTGCCCTTGTAGGGCGTTTACTTGGCGAGAAAGACAACTAGATACCATATAAGAGCAGTGCTGTGACTGAGCACACAGCTGTTGACATTTGTGCATGACGCCTGGTGCTACTCTTTATTCATTGTCCATTGTTAAATCAAGCAAAGAGGCTGTAAGCAGTATTTGTAAAACTGTTCGTCTGCAGATTAAAGTTAAAGGGCAGATATGACAGAGTTAGGATGTGGACACTGGAATAACAGGAATTGAAGACTTAAACAGCAGGTAAAATCTTTAAAAGTAAACACAGATACTCTGTGTCACCTTTCAGTCCTGCTAGATTGAAAGGTTAATGGTAGTATCCAAGGCCAAGAGTGAATGGATGGAAAGACTGCTTTTTTCAGGGATTCATACCATAAGAAGCAGGCCTCTGATTTAAATAAATTACCAGATTATTATGATTTATAAACAGTCAACACTTTCATGCATCCTCCAGTCAACCCAGTCGTTGGATTTTTAAGTAATTTTAAGGCCTTTTATGAGCATCATACAGCATCATGACTGAACAGGGGTACTACACAGTGTAGATAATTAAACGCAGCTGAATTAGTTTGCGTCCCGAGTTACTCGAAACTGTGACAGACTGAATTTGTGTGAATGTCCTAAATAAGTCAGAATAATTGCTGCTGCAGCTTAAAACAAGTTGCATTCACTCAGGTTTTGTGCAGACTTTAGTAAACAGGACTCTAAATGTGATTAAGTAATTTTGGATGACTGCACGTTGGAATATCACCACGGGAGATAATGCGGTCTGATGTTGGGAATGTTGCATTAGGCTCCTGGACTTGTAGGAAAAAGTACAAATAAGAAAAAAAGTGACAGCGTAGCCTGGGGCTTTAACTGTATTTGACATGGTGTATATGTACAATAATCCAGTAATGAGATCCTGATGTATGCACTGCCTGTTTTTTCCCAGGGGTTAAGTCTGTAGCATCGTCCGTCGGGCAGAGAGTAAGTACCGCGGGCCTCACCGACACATCAGACTGTCACTAAAACTCTGGGAGGTTTTCTATAAACACCTGCTCCATTTCACTCTGGGGCCCATGCATGAGGCCAAGAACCAGGTGCCAAAAAATCCACTGCCCGGCACCATGCCTTTTGATGTAATGCCATCATCAAGGTGAACACCGCGTGGTTATGCAATTACATGTCCTCCTGTCTTGGACCTGTCCTCCCACCTCCTCTGACAGATGTCAGGTCGGGGATTTGTGCCCCGTGAAGGAGGAAAAATGATTCAACATGCACTCACTGAAGTGGAGATGCTGCTCGTTGCATAGTGAGATGCACAAAAAGTCAGAGCTGGTGGTATAAATTATCCCACATGATGTCTCCAATGTTCCTGCAGAGGTAATCGAGTTGTCTGTGCACAGACCTGTGGTTTGAACACTGGAAAATTTCATTTTTCTTAATTCAGTGGCTACTTTTTCCCCTTGGAAATATTGATAAAATATTTTCATTTGTTATCCAACTTTAAATACATTTTCTTTGTTACCATTTTTCTTTATAAGTGTGAAATATTAGCTATTTTTACACCGTGCAGGTACTTTTCTTTTCATGCTATTCATTTGCTTAACAAAAAAATCACAAAGCATGATTAAATGTAATTACCGTGTGCAAATTGTTCATTATATTTAACATTTCATTTGTGTATCACTGTTAGAACATACAAATTGTATTTATAGTTATATTGTTTTCAATCCCTTTATTTCCTTTCCTCCCAAATGTGTATATAATATCTTTTTTCTCTTGGAATTCAATTTTCTGCTTGTTTATGTTTTAGTTGGTCATTTAACATATTGGCTGCTGTTTGATTAATAAAGATTGCAGTTTAGTTTTTTTGAGTTGGGGGTATTTTTCATTCCTTTTAGGCCCTTTTAGGTTAAACAGACATCTCACACATCTCAGGGCTCATTTTGCTTTTGCTTTTTTATTTCCTTTGCTCAGTTTCCTCATTTCCTCCTGATCCCAGGCTGTGGCCAATGATCACTCGGCTGCTCCTCTGCCTCTCACCTGAAGGTAATCAGATCATCAAGACTCCACTCCTCAGTCAAGCACCTTTAGTTACAGCCTTTAGCTTCAGTCATCAGTGGAGTCCTGATGCGACACAGGTAACCAAAGCATAATTATTATTTTTTTAAACTTTATAGCAGAAATATGGATGAAACAAATGTCTGAAGTCATAACAGCAGCTCTTCACACTGCTCTGACCAAAGGCCTCTGCATTTTTTTCCTAATAGCCTGTGAAGTTGTTTAGTGAATGCATCACCCAGAAATATTCCCACCACATGCACTTTTCATTTTTTTTGGTTTTTGAAACCGTCAAAAACTGTGTTAGTACAGTCAGCTGACACATGTGAAGCCACAACGTTTCTCACAGGAAAAGAATTTGAAAAATACACACACACACACAAAAAGCCAGACTCTATTCCCAAATTTTACATCGGTTTTGTCGGTAGTTTATGATGAATTTAATTCTTAAGCTCTGAGCTGAGACCCTCGTAACTCCCAAATAAAAGTTACTAAATTTGAACTATGTTAACCTCAACTTAATTCTTTTAAACATAGCTGATGACAGCACAGGCTAATGTCAATGCTCAGAGCACAAAACTGACCCAAAGATGATGCCAGAAATGGGCAAAATGTAATGAAAAATAACAAAAGATTAATAATAATAATAAAATAATAATAATTAAAAATATACAGCTGCATTAGCAAGAATCTCTTAAATTAAAATTAAAATGGAGACAAATTAAAATTAGACAAATTGCTCAAATTGATCTTAAAGATACCCTTATGATAAAGCATCATAATATCAGACAACATTACACAGAAATAAAATCCTGGGCAAAATATTTTTTTTCTATAGCTTGAAAATTCCCTCATTTATACAGATCCCGTCTTTACACTAACAGTAAAAACACTTTCTACTGTTTTATGGTAAATAGCAACAATGATTTTTTTTTTCCAAATAATGAGCATTTTTCAGACAGAGTAAATGAACTGCTGTGTAATTGAGGATGGAAAGTGGCTGGATTTCCAGTAGTGACAGGAAGAAAAGAGCTTCCTACAGGCTGATATCTTCTAGCTGGTTCACCATGTGTGTTTTCACCAGTGGATTTTCCATTACAGCAGAGCAACATGGCTGAAAAAGTCATCAGAGAAGTAAAAGGATACGTATGAGCGCTTGTTTCCACTGGTGAAAAAGGGAGGAGAGCTTCTAGCATTAGCTCTGGCTCAGGAGAAGCAGAGGCTCCTGCCGTGTTGATAGGTCCAGACGTCACTGTGTAGAATGAACTTCAAATACCAGAGAAGTAGGTGTGTTTAAATGAAAATAATAATAATAAAAAACTACTAATGCATTAACATTCTTTTTGTCATGGCAAAATGGCAAAGATTTACACTGACAAATATATTTTGTGAAGTTTTTCTCTAAACTATTTTAATCATTTTGAAAAACAAACACACTAATTGTGGTTGTTTCAAAGATCATTTTTTTTCAGATTTCTTTGGCTTCTTTACAACGTTTTCAAGGGTAGATGCTCAGTGTCAGATCATGTTCAGGTTCAATTAGTGTACGTTAGCTTGAACAGACCTGCCACAGGGTAATGTTGTAGCTAAAGCTTATTTTGTTTCATCAATGCGGCAACAAGTGTCTCTTTAGCTCAATGTTGCGTGAGGTGCTGCAAAAACATGTGGAATCTACTAGAACCTTGTCATTTAGACTTATTGTGTAGCTGCAGCGTGCTAGCTATAACTAGCATGAAAGCTAAACCAAGCAACAAGATGTTTGGTGTTTGTCCTTCAAAAGACCTTTTTAATAATGGCTAATTGACTACAGCCTGGGCAGATGGCGTGCTGTAACAGGAGCCTTCATGTTACAGTTTCACATGGTATTTGGTCTTGTTATTTCCTCTTAAAAAGTGAGGGATTAAATTAGATTAAAAAGTTTTCTTGTGACTGCGACTACGGTTGTGCGAAGGAATTGCGACGTTCAGCCAACGCAGCTGCAACAGCTGTTTACATTCTTAGGGCTACAGAACAATTAAATGTGATTCTTCTCAAAGCAAAAAAGGGAAATATGGGATATTTTGGTGTTTTTTCTTCTTCTGTGGCTTCGTTAACTGATGGGATTTATTTTCGTGCAGATTATTTCTCCTGCTGTTTGCAGTTGTTTTGTTTTATGTAAGATTATCACCAGGCCGAGACTTCAGACTCATTTTAATTAGAGCCAAAGCATCTGCTCTTTGTTTCAGACCGGTACTGTTAAGGTTCGAGTGGAAACAAGCCTGGTATTAACACCCAAGAATTTCTATGTGGATGTTTGTGAAAATTAAGATGAATGTTTCTTTAGCCTGATCTCCTGATCGTCTGTTAAAACCTCAAATCAAGGCCACATGGCGAACAGTTTCTCTACAAAGATCATCTTTTCTGATCTTGTATCTGAATTCCAAAAATGTAAGTTCAAATTTTAGGGTTTGTGGAGACCTGGTGCTACAGGAGGTCAGGTAGACCAATATTTCTCTTCTTGCACCTTTGTTTTCTGGAGTACGTGCCCGCCTTACTGCCAGAGAGAATGCATTTTTTCCACTGGCTGCAGGAAAATGTGCCCTAAAATAAATGACTTCTTTAATTTCAAACGACAGGCCCACTTCTCTAGAAGCACAGTTGCCCTTGGCTGTGCCAGAGTGTCTTTGTTGCGCTACGGAATACTATAAGTTTCACACATTAAAGCAGCCATTATGAAAAAGAAACGCTGAGTCAAACTTAGCTATGCACTTGGATCAACCGCACTTCTTTCATGGACTCTGGTCTCACTGGCTGAGGTTTTCAGCATATTTCAAACTTGTATTTCAATGCTTTTGCTTCAAGTCAGGCTTGATGTGGCCAGAGCCCAGGGCTGCAGAGTTTGCAAGAGTTTTTTTTTCTTCTTCTTCTACAAAATATTAAACAATTCCTCTAATAGACAACGTAATTGCAGAACAATAAATATTTGTTAAATCCACAGATGTATTTTAAAACGGCAGCACTGGAAACACATGGGATTATCTCATCCCCCGACCGGTTTCTTCATGTCGTACGACAGAACGGGATTAAGTGAACTTTCTGATAAATTATTTTTCGGCGGTCACCTGTCCTCTCACTAAGCTCTCATATTTTCTCGAAGCTGTTAATGTGATTTAGACCTGTTTATGTGCAGTGGATTTAAATCATCCCAGGTTGTAAGTTTGTCTTTCCCCCTTCGATGATACAGAGTAGGCCACAGATAAAAATTGGAGTTAGTAAATGGAGATTGAGTGGAAAAAGTTGCTGTGTGTGTGTAGAAACGGTTACATGATCCCAGCAACTGGTATTTCACACCCGAGTGAGTGAAGGTGAATCACAGAAGGAGACGTCTTTCTTGTAGACTCATATGTGAATAAGAAATCTCTCTTCCTCTACATGTGTGTCTCCATGTGCTGTGAGAACTAACAATCTCCTGCTACAGATCCTCACAGGCCGTAGCTCACATTGTGTCAACAGGAAGTGTTCCCATTTCTTCATGTGAAACTTCTTTCAACTTGCCAACAGTTTGTTTGAGCCCAGAACCTTCCCTGGACACTGAGCACACACCTCAGAAGGTGGTTCACCGTTAGACACACTGACATCCTCTGGCAAATGTGTGTCAAATGTGGAACACACTCTGGGCTTTAAACCAGCCAGCGCAGCCAGACCCACACAGCCCATCCTCTCTGTGTGTGCCACGTGGACTATTCCAGGACCCTCAACCCAAATATCTCCACCACAGCACTACTACAACAGCAAGGCTTTGACTTCCACCATTTTTTCCCCCAGTGGTGCATTTTTTCCAGGCCTCACCATTATTTAGTAAAAACCTCTTCACTCCCTGGGTTCAGTGCTGTGAGACAGATGGTCTGGTGCAAAACCACAAAACCCTGCGTTCATTCCAAAAAAACATAAAAATCAATTGTAAATCATCACAAAGATGTCTTTGTAATTTTATTATATTCTGAGGGATTCAAAGGAATGAACTTTGCCGTCAGTGGGTCACATACCCGTCATATTAATTCCTATTAAATATTTATTGGAAACTGGGAAAACATGTTTTTTACAAATTTTTTTTTTGCTCATTTTCTTGTGAAGCTTCTTCTGCAGTTGCTGTTGTCTGCTTCTCTTCTCGATTATTGGCCAGACACTTTCAATAGAAGACAGATCTGGACTGGATGTACAATATATCAAGGCACCCTTGTTTGATTTGTTCAAAGTGACATCGCTATGCATGGAAATTAGTGATACATTTTCATTTGAGAATGCTTTTTAAGATTTCCACACAAGCCACAGAATCAACAGTACTCTTAAAAAATATGCAGATTTTCTGTATCATTTTTAAGAACTAATATAAGGTTTACTGCTGTTTATTTGTTAAACTTGTAGTCATTGTCAAAACACAGCAAAGTCTACTTTGCTGTGTTTTGATATAATGAATTCATTGTAATTAATTATTATTAACTAATAAATAAAGGTTTTGGTTTGTTTGGTTTGATATGAGACTGGCTGTACTTGACATGAAGTGGAAGGCAGATTCATTTCAATTTCAAAGTTTCTTCTTTGTGGGAAAATGCTCTCAGATTTTCTTTCCCTTTGTTCAATATAAATATCAGTTTTGTAGGAATTAGTGTTAAGGTAATTGGAGGTTTGAAGTAAATTCTGTGACTGTGTGGACTTGGGGGTGTCTCAACAATAGTTTTACCAAAGGGGGCGCTGTTCTCAAAAAAAGTCATGATTGACAGAGTTGTTAGAATGGTATAAAAGTCATTTATTTATTAGACAAAACAATCTTAGACATCTGTAAAAGAAATCTATATCTAACAACATAAGTATATATAAAATGTACATTTTGTGCATTGCAAACTCTCAAAGAGGAAAAAAAATTAAGATAAAAACACAACAACAGAACTTTGATCCACACAGACACTCGTTTTCAAAAACCCTTCATCGTCACTTCTTTTCAGTCATCCGTAACAAAATTCTAAAGACGAAAAAAGAAAAACATTTGAAATGTTATCATTCGATTGGATTGAATAACTTTAACAAAAACATTGACTTGTATTATAGTGTTCAAAGGAAGGGGCGAGGTTCCTGCAGCGGCAGTGGCCGGACCTGCAGTCGGTTCTAGTGATGGACCATTTCTGAGCTCCTGTAGACGAAAAAATGTTCCAGATGTAATGATAAATCACTCAGTGAAGACAATGAGGCCCTGTCTGGAAAACCACAGAAATACACACACAGGCTAACATACACATCCACCCAGAATGATTTGGCATCACACACTTAAACACAAGATGTGCAGGCAGCTGCTGTTCATCCTTCTATTACAGTTTGTCAAAAAGGTTTTTTAAACAAAAACTACTAGTTAAAAGGAAATACATTGCAAAACAAGAGTACTTTTCTACACACACATTTTCATTTACACAAGGTAACATCCCAAACAAGAAAAGCGCCTCCTCTTTTCTCACGTTTTAAAGCAATACTATAATGTGTCATCTCAATGATTGTGATTGTGTTTTGTCAGTGTAAACAAATAAATAAATATTTACAAGCATAAAACAAGTCGAGCAAACAAAACAAGCAGGGCATAAATAATTTACAAAAAAAAGAGAGAATCATACAGACCTAGTATAAACATCTTAGACATTCACTAAAATGGCTTCTGCTGAACAAAAAACAAACAAAACAAAAACATTCAGGTGAAAAAAAAATCAAGCTTTTGTTAACATTAGTGAGACAATGTAAAATGAAAGTTCTTAAATTCTTAACTCATTTGGAACAGGTAAAAAAACCACAAACGTCTAGGAGATATAGAAAGTAAAAACAGCAAATTTGGCTTTTAAGTGGTTGAACACTTACTCCATAAACATGTAGACATATGCAAGTACAAGAGTTATAACTAGATAATATTTCTAAACGTCTCCACTCCCACTTGTCTTTTGCAGCGGGGAGACGTGTACAAGTCGTCAGGAGAACTGTAACCAAACATCACCTCCAATCCACTGGATGAAGAAGTCACGGCAGGTAAATGTGAAGAACGTCTCATGTGGAAGTGGAAAAGGTTTTTACCTAAGGTGTGTGTGTGTGTGTGTGTGCGTGTGTGTGTGTGTGTGAGTGTGTGTGTGTGTGTGCGTGTGTGTGTGTGTGTGCGTGTGTGTGTGTGTGTGAGTGTGTGTGTGTGTGTGTGAGTGTGTGTGTGTGTGTGCGTGTGTGTGTGTGTGTGTGTGCGTGTGTGTGTGTGTGTGTGTGTGCGTGTGTGTGTGTGTGTGTGTGTGAGTGTGTGTGTGTGTGTGTGCGTGTGTGTGTGTGTGTGTGTGTGCGTGTGTGTGTGTGTGTGAGTGTGTGTGTGTGTGTGGTGTCTGTTGGTGTCTGTGTTTTGAATTCTCTTCTGCTCTTGAAGACTCGGCTCAGTTATCTGCAGGGAGATAGATGACAGTACTCATTAACGCCACCCTAATGGTCGACACTCAAACATTCAGTATGCTTTACACAGTCAGTAGTGTTTTAGTGCAGCATCCACGTGTGCAGTGTGCCCAGAGAGTGTGATGTGACGTCAGTGATGTTCTGTGTTGTCGATTCATTCACCAGAAGCATGGACTGTACATTTAAGAAATGGATGTAGCCGTGTGGTTTGGGAGTGGCACTGTGGGACTAGCATTGTCGTGGTTTCAGACATGGCTCTAAATGAATGAAAGTCTATGGAGGTGGTTCTTAAAGTGAGGGGCGGTGTAATGATCACATCTCCATGTACTGTTTATTTTCATTCTTGTGGCTCCGGCATGTTAACACGATGACATGTCATTGAAGACACACTATGTTACTGGATGCTGCGACTTGTTTTTGCTATTTTTGAATCTTATTTATGGCATCGTCCTTATTTTTGGTACATCCGCCAAGGACAGATTTGTCACGCCTGAGCTTCTCTGCAGACAGTAAACATTCAGGGTGACAGTTAAGAGCTGCTTCGAGTCTTATTTATAACAATTCTAACCCAGGCAGACTGACTTTATCTCTACAGTGGGCCCCCCGGTGGTGGGGGTTCACAGCAAGGCCCATGAATTCTATTTTGAATAATATGTTCGTCTGAGCCACAGTGGAGAAAATGTGATAATTTGTAAATCATTTTTATTTGGTTTAAAGAGAACAGCAGTTTTGTAAAAATTTTAGACAGAAAACTGTAAAAGTGTCCACGGGGGGACTGCAGAAAAGCTTTGGGACCACCATGTGGGAAATGTGGCCACTTTTATGTCTACTTTTGCCAATAATTAACATTAATATGAGCTGCGACCAGACCTCAAATGTTGGTCTCATCACAAACATCCAGATATTTTATCCAGTAGAAGTTCTAAAATGATAATAAAGCTCTTTCTACAGATTCTATTCATACATGGTTGTGCACTCCCGTTGTCCAATCAGGAAGCTGAGTCCATTTCTTACTGTATGTACTGCTGTAAAGACCTTTCACAAAGGCATTTTACAATATATTTGTGATACAAATGCAAGTGATGAAGCCAACAAGCAGAACCGCAGCATGACTTTTCAATTTGCTGTAGCCACAACAAAAACAACACAACATGTCATTACCTCGTGAACACGGTTGGCAACTCCGGCTTGTCTAAGATTTGAGAAAGATGATTAACATTTAAACACAGTCCAGTGAGCACGACTTTGTCCTTTATATGAAAACTTGCAGATTATCAACTTTCTTTACTTTCTTTAAGTGTGACTCAGTCCTTTATCATTACTGAATATGAGGATAAGATTTCACTTTCTGGAAATCGGTCTCCTGCTAACTAACTTTGACTGGGAGGTTTTCCGCAGCATCCCAACATTTGCGTGTGAAGTTGAGATGATGTGGAAAACCTCGGAGTAAGGCAACCAGCTCAAACTCTGAATGTTGTAATGTCTGTATTTGAGTTATTTTTAGAGTTTAAGCGACCAATCCTGACCTTTTAAAAGTTTTTATGTGCGCCGCATCTTTAACTTTATGATGCACTATAACGATTGAACCACTGAAGAGTTATGTAACTGCCATTTCCTCACTTTGTCTTTATTTTTCATGCTATCAAAATAATAGTAGATGGAAAATAAATCTTATAAAACTATATGAGGTTCAGTATTCTGGGATGTAGAAATTGCTAACATCTCTTAAAAAGCATGAAAATGTGATTTGTTTTAAACATAGGTCTGATGTTTTACACTAAATCATTTGTCAATATTCCCTGCTAATGCTTAGAACTTAGTTTGTTATTAATTATCTTTGAAGCAACAATAAGCCAGTAGGTTTTAATGAAGCCAAATATGCATGAATGTCACATCTGCATTGTGAATATATCAACTGTAACATCTGGCAGCTGAAACTGGAGCTTTAATTTCCAACTAAACCATTGCACTGTAGTTATTGTTGGATGTTCCCTCACTGCTGCAAACAAATCATTAACAGAAAGCAGTTTGTTGATGATTTCTAAGTCTGTGTAATTGACTTCAGTTCTGATTTCCACATGACCTTTCAGGGCTCGATCTCGAGTCCTGAAAGGTCCAGCGTCACACATTTTTCCATTCAAGAAAGTAATCGTGGTCAGTAGTCGGAACAGTGAAGGTACTACTATCAAAGTTTTTTAAAAGGTCAATATCTACTGTCTTAGTCAGATTAATAAACCATGGCCCAGTGGCCATGTCATGAAATGTAATATAGTTCCAAACACTCAAGTGCAGTATGTAAATAACAAAAGTGTTTGCACTAACCTCTGCATTCATACTTGAGGTCGGAGAAGAACACCAACTCTTGCGAGAAGACAAACAAGCCTAATCTTCCTCCGGCGAATGTTTTGTCATAAACTGGCCCTGAGTCAGCCATGATCTGTTTACCCTCATAGACCACAACTCTGGAAAAACATGAGACAAACAAGCAGTCAAGTGGTGAGATTGCATTGCTCAGAAATGTACAACATGTTCTGTTGATGGTAATATTAGTATGTCAGCGGTTGACAGCTGACCATGTGAACTTCTAAACAGCCGGGCACTGATTGTCTGTGATTTTTTACAAAATCACACAGTTACAGAGACAGGCATTATATCCTACCTTATAAACCCAGTCTTTGGTCTGTGGATCAGATGCCACCTGTAGGCTGTGTAGTCCTTCCAGCCAATGTTTTTGGGGTCATGCCAAAGAGTACGGACCTAAATGTGAAATCCTAAATGTTAGCTAACATTGACGTGACACTGCTTTTATCGATGACAAATTAGTCTCCAAATGTATCCCACCTGTCCAGGAGTGTCCCCTGTATGCCAAAGAGCATTCCTGAGGTTTTCTCCAGTGCCAGTGCTGGAGTTAACAACTTTGAGCGAAACTCCAGAAATGCCAAAAGCCTTGGACGGTTTGTCCTCCCAGTACGTCTGTGTGATCTGCTTCCACATCACGACATAAAAACGCCCACTGGACTGGTAGCCAAACACAAAGCCGGCATAGTCATCATCTCTGTCTGTGTTTACATACATGGTTCCACTGAAGTCCACTGCATTGAACTCATCAAACCCTGCAATGTCCAGGAATATAAAGTTCATTATTTTATTTCAAGAGAACCAGCAGAATGTCATCTCCTTCAGGACGTGTGTTCAGCTCACCTACGGCAATGCCAGGGTCAGAGTTGGCAGTCTGGACCAGCTCTTTGCCCTGGTGCCTGACCACCCAGTTGGGATCGATTTGGGTTGTTCCCTTAGGATCCAAGTGGACCATCTGGAATTTCCTGAAATCTGTTGCGCTGATGGCATTGTTCTCCGGACACACATCCAGAATGTCTGGGATGTTGTCGTTGTCAAAGTCATCTTTGCAGACATCCCCTCGTCCATCACCTACAGGAAGTGATCATAAATATGGGATGGTATACATGAGCACGGCGACCATTGATGCTGGCTTATTTATTATCATCATTGCAAACCTGTTAAATATTTTCTGAAACAGATGCTCTCTGACACACTGCGACAAGAGTGAAAGCATTTCTAGTCACAGCTGTGTAAACCCAGTCAGCCTCAATCTGACACAGTAGATTATTAATCATTTGCCAAATGTAAAGGGACGCAAAGACTTCTCGGCTTAGAGAGCGGCCTTCTGGGCGGCTCAGAGCAGCCGTACAGAGTGAGATCAGCCATGATGTCAGCAAAGTTACTGGCTCTTTCCACAGCCAACATTATTTCACATCTGCAGCAGTAAAGCTCATTCCTAGCAAAATGAGTGTGTGATGAGAACAAAGTGTCAAGAGAGAGAAAAAAAAACTTTAGCTTTTATAAGAACTATAAATGTAGCAATCGTCAATTCCACGTTACTGCCACGGAGCTGTATTTCATGTCAAAATAGTATTTGAAACCATAAGACCTAAAATGTGTCATCACCGTCAGAGTCCAGCTGGTCTGCGTTGGGCGTGAGTCTGCAGTTGTCCCTGTCGTCAGGTATGCCGTCGTTATCGTCGTCATAGTCGCATGCGTCTCCTTTTCCGTCCTTGTCATGGTCAGCCTGGTTGGAGTTGGCCACGTAAGGACAGTTGTCCAGGTTGTTCTGATGACCGTCTTCGTCAATGTCCTGGTTGTTGTCACACTGATCTCCGACCAGGTCGTTGTCAACATCAGTCTGTGGATGGAGGCAGACGTTAACAATGTTAATTCCCTCTGTGAATATTCTCTCAACCTGCAGAGTTCTGTGTGCTACAGTACCTGGTCAGGGTTGTGCAGCAGTGGACAGTTGTCACAATGATCACCGACTCCATCCATGTCAGTGTCTTTCTGGTCAGTGTTATACACATAGGGGCAGTTGTCGCTTTCATTCAAAATGTCTGGAAGATAAATAGAAAAACGTTATCTACCCTAGATACAATCGTTGGACTTTTCTTTTTTGTTGGTCCTTTTTTTTTTACCATCTCCGTCGATGTCTATTGCACAGGCGTCCCCTTCTCCGTTGTGGTCAGTGTCTATCTGAGCAGGGTTGTGTTCATAGGGGCAGTTGTCGCATCTGTCGCCAACTTCATCCTTGTCAAAGTCAAACTGGCGGGGATTGTAAAGGAGGGCGCAGTTGTCCTGGAGTGAAAACGAGTATTAGCACAAGAATTGATGAATGAATTGGATTAAAATTTAAATGCATTTCAACACATGTTGAATTACATTTTACTTAGTACAGTTTAGTACAGTTTACTATATAATCAATAATAGACCACTCCTCCATTGAATGTTGTTCAGTCAATACACACACTGGGGGAAAAAAAAGAAAAGTTCTAACTACCTCGAGCTTAAAATACCATCTCGTGATAATCCACCGCTTCCCTGCCATATATCAGATTTACTTATTACAGTTTTTTTATTATATTATAATATTAACCATTTGTGCCATACTGCACTAAAGAGCAGTTGGTTAATGTTATGAAAACCAGTAAAAGCTAGTTGCCCTGCCAGTTCAAATTCTGTCAATTAAGTTTGCAACTGCTGCCATAAATTAAAAGGTAATAATTTGAGTTAAAGACCCCTGTGTTAGATACTGGCGTACCCTCTCATCTAAAATTCCATCGTTGTCATCATCCTTGTCACAGGCATCTCCTTGACCATCTCTGTCGAAGTCTTCCTGGCCAGAGTTGGGCAGACTTGGGCAATTGTCCTGAAATAACACAGTCAAGTTAGTATTCATCATTAAGCTATATCAATTATTATATTAATATATGTCCATATTATAGATTCACTCCTGGGCAGGCTTTAGAACACACCTTCTTGCAGTGATATGTTGCATTGGCCCCACACACAAGGTTGTGGTTGGGCCATCCATCCAAGTCGGAGTCTTCTCCACAGATAAACCCATCTCCAGCATAACCCGTCCGGCATTCGCACTTGTACATCGGGTCATTAAAGTGGCTAATGTAGATGCATTCAGCAAATTTGTGACAGTTGTGGGTCTTGTCCTTGCATGGATTCTCTGGTTCACACACCTGGAATAAATCAAAGAAGCAACTTTAACTGTATTTCCGAAACTGTTTCCATGAAAAGATGAAAACGTACGGCTTGTCATCGGCCTTTTCACTTTTTCCATTTCCTTAATGCCCTCTCGTGACATCTTTATATTTAAAATGTTGCTATATTTTACTGCTTTTTATTATATCTACCATTTCGAAAAGGTCACGGCAAGAGTTAGGATTTCTCCGCAGTCAAGAGTGAGGTGGAGTTTTCAGGGTCAATCCAAACTACAGGAAAAAACCTCCGGACACCACGATTTTATGAGATCCCACATGTATCCTGCTACGACCCACTGTTGCCCTTTACTGCAGCACGAGGTATTCACAGCTGCCACTCATTACCACAGGATGAGGAATGACTCCGGATTGGATGCCACTCCATGAGCTCATGGAGCAGAAGGCAACAGCGAGAGCAAGGCAGGATCTTTGATCAAACTTTAGACAGGAACCCTAAATGCCAACAATGAGACAAATCCTTTTCCTCTAGAAAAAAAAAATCAATTAGTACAACAGCAGCGTCAAATTAAAATCGAGACGCTGCAGAAGCCAAAAAGTGACAGAATTCTCCACACAGGACGTTAATCAAGAGCTGTTCAGGGTGGTAAAGCCAATTTTCAGTTTTCTAGGAATTCCATGATCTCCAAAGAAGAAAAAAAAAATACAAGATTTTTATATGAAAGCCACATTAATCATAATATGGCTCAAATTCTGGAATGGACAGGTTTAAGTAGGAGGAAGTACTAAATTACCTTAGGTAGAAGTAGCTGATCTGTAAAATGTATTTGCTTTTAAGCTTTGCTCAAATCTCTCTCTACTTCCTGATACTGCCTTACACTTACATGTGGTCATCCCCCTCCCCAGCTTTGTGCAAGCTCTCGCTGCAAAAATGAGGCTTATAAATCACCTGGGCTGCTTCTTCCATCATTCATAAATTTGGATCTGTCTCACAAAAATCCACACAACTGTCTTTAAACATCTGCCTGAGGGTAAAAGCCAACATTTTATCCTTTTCTTTACAACATTTGCTTCTCACATGCTCAAACAGTAACTCTGTTTGAATGGCATCCAAACAACAATCTATCAATGACTGAGAGTTCCTTCCAATCACCTGCTTGTTCTTCTTGGCAGCTTCCACGCCCATACCAAAGGGCTGGGTGCCTTTGTAGCGTGTGGGACAAGGGAGGCAGTGGAACCCTGGGTCAGTGTTGACACAGCGCTGGGTTCCAGTCACTTTGTAGCAAACGTCAGATACCATATCACACTGAAGAAGGAAAATGAAGAACATCAGCGCATCAACCATCCTTTAAATAAAAATGTCCGACAGGAGCAGCAGAAGTCTTCAGTTTTACCTCATTAATGTCTTCACAGAAGGTTCCGTTTCCACGAAAACCAGCGGGACACGGGCCGCAGCCCCAGGATCCATCTGGAGAACTGTTGCACACCACTCCACCAAAGCACGGATTAGACAGACAGCCATCTGCAAGAGATTTAGATGACAAGAGTGTAAACAAACATGGGAAGTACGATTTCAACAAAACAGAACCAATCTGCAGAGCGTCTTCATATGATTCCACTTCAGTTGGTGAAGTTTTATCCTCAAATTGATGCTTCAAATTGGAGCTGCTGAGACGTTAACCATTTCCTGACATGAATTCTGGAGACGGTCCAGGCATCTCCGAATGTTTACCCTCTCCTTATGACAGACATATTTAAGGGACTGTCTGGGTGATTTGACTTCAGTAAATACATGACAGCAACAGAACAACTGGATAAACACAGCAAAGTAGTGGCACCTGGAGACTGTTTCAAGTGTGGAACTACAGCAAATTTGTTGTAAATGAACACAGGCAACCAGAAAATATACAACTGAATTTCCTGTGTCAGTTGTGAACTAGTTTATATACATATCAAAACATATGCAGGAGATGAAACAAAACCATCGTTGAATGGATTTAATCATCAGCAGTTCAACATCACTGCAGCTCACCAATTGGACACTCTTCCTTGTTACAGCTGTTACTGTCCTCAGCTTCTCCACTGCACCGCTTGCCACCATGCTGAGGATGAGGGCTGTTGCACTCTCTTGTCCGACTTTTGATTCCACCACCACATGTTGCCGAGCAGGTTGCCCACGGCGACCATGGACCCCAACCACCATCGACTAAAACAGTCCAAGAGAGAGAGTTTTGGCGGGCCGTCGGTATTCCATACAACACATTTTTGTCTTAATAAAAAGGTGTCAAGATTCAAGGTCTGAAGTGTGCGAAAAGCAGCTGGAGTAAGTAAGAAACCTGGAACTTGATAGTACAAGAGAAAACATACTGATCTGATTTGGGTCAACTTTTCCTGAAAGATAGACGGAAAGCCAAAACACACGAGGAGTGATGCCTCGGGGGAGTCGTGAGGCATGGGGAAGTCTGCTTTTTTTCCACATGAATTCTAGCTTCTGTAATAGAGATGCTGCCGTCCACTGTTTGCCCAGCAGGGCTGATATACTCACTGGGACATGGACTGGCTGTGCAGCGCTGAGTCTCTCTTCCATTTCCTTCACAGTCTTTACCCCCCAGCTGTGGCACCGGGGCGTTGCAGTGTCGTATTCTGGTGATCTGTCCTTCTCCACAGGTCACTGAACAGGACGACCACGGTGACCACAAGCTCCACCCTCCGTCCTGACGCACTGTAGAATATTTTCAGTAGAGAGCAGAATAACACAGGTCTCATGTTATCCTCCAGACTCCCATCACTGAAGCAGTTACAGACATTTGTGAGTTAAAAAGTGAAGCTCTAGTGGAGTAAGCATTATGCGATGACGACAACAACGGTGGCTCACTCATCTCATTCATGTCAACAAGACAGTCGCTCAATCAACAAATCCAGATTGACTTACACCAAACCATGAAAGTGGATCGTGGAGTAAAACTGCTTACCACGACTGTCACATTTGCCCAGGCTGCATTTGCGAGTCTGGATGGAAGGTCCAGTGCAGGGGTTACTAGTTGCATCACACGACCGACCTCTCTGTTGAGTTCCTATCCCACATGTGACCGTGCACTCCGTCCACTCAGACCAGGGCGACCAGCCATCATCGCTGTATTGAGCTGGACAAAGTAAAAGCACTGTTTTCTGACATGGCCTTATCTGAAATGGCCACAGTAGCCAGTCTTATTCAGCGTTTTGGCCACTGACTGTGGTTTACTCACAAAAAAACACTGGCTGCTACAATCCTTCAGTACTAAAATTTTATGTGCTTGGGATATTGGTTTTATGGCCCTAATTTGGAGCATGCCTTCATAAAACGAGTGTGTTTACAATTACAAAATTACAAAAACAGTCAATGTAACTACTTACGCATGCAAACTGGACAGCATTCTCCGTCCACGAATGTAGGGCTGGCACATGCCACTGGGGGGCATGTGATTTGGTGACACACAATCTTGGACTCCTGTCATTGGTGAACATTAGAGATGTATGAAAAACTCAATAATCCAGGGGTTATTTGTACACATTCTTGTATGACTTGGCACTACCTGGCAAGTACATTTGGTGCAGCTGTCTACAACCCAGTCTTCCTTATCATCAAACAGCCGGCCGTCCTGCCAACACATGTTTTTCTCCTTTGAGTTCCTCATTTTCCCCAGGGCCTCCTTCATAACCGTGTTCTCCTCTGTCTGAACATACAACAATGATTTGCAGCAGGAAATTAGATTAGTAGGCATTGAAGGAAGTAAGATGCATTTAGTAAAGTTGGGTTTTGAGGTGAAGTGTAGGGTCAGGACAAGCTTGGCCTGTGCCAGTAAAAACAAAGCTGTGCATCACACATACATCAGTGACGGGGACACACTGAGTCCACTATGTGACTGGACATGAAGGTAAATAAGGTTGGATGATGCAGCCCAGTGACACATCGGCATGCATACATGAACAAAATGAATGAACAAAAGAACCCAGCATTAACTGCATTTTGGTGAAATGTTCCTGTTCCTTCACATATGTTAACTGTGCTACACCACTTTAATAAATGGATGCCTAGTTCCATGTATTATATACTATCTATGGTTTTCACAGGTTTCGTTTCGACCTGACCTCCTCATGTTATTGTAAATCAACTCATGAGAGAAAAAAAGCAGGTGGAGCAGAATAGACAAATGAAGCCTGAATTTATGACCTAAAGGAAACATGTCTGTTTTTTTGGACAGGTAGTGAAGATAGCAGACAGCAGAAGAAATCACAAAACACTGGGAACCCAAGATGAGCATCTGCCTGACAGAAACCGAAGAAGACGGAATCAGGAAGATGAGCGACAGTAAAGAGGTACAGAGAAATCATCCCTTGAGATATAGTGTACCGAGAGCTGCCTCGCTTAAATGACTTGTGAAATGTGCATTTCCAATTGTGTTTCCGTCCAATGTTCTCGTGGCACTTGTCCAACTGGACGTTTTACTTATGCACAATGTAACCTCCGATCCAGTTGGAGTTCAGTGGATTTCTGGCTGGACTCCTCAACTTTTGGGAACTTTCACTTGATAAGTTCCTGCCAAAAGTGTGTCGGAGTGTGTGCACTTGTGTGTGAGTGCGTGTGGGTTCTGCTGTAAAAAAGGGGAGGCAGCATGTGCACAGCTCCAGAATCTAAGACACCACTCGGTCTTGAAGAGCCTCAGGGACCCTTCTCATCCCAGCCTATTTTTTTCCCAAGGTTCATGCCCAGACTCTTATTGCTGGGAGCCTCCCAGAGGAAACACATGGGCTGTCTAAACACAACCAGACATTAGACTGGACCCTGTCACTGCCAGGGGAACACTTCCTATATCCACATGTAACATGTCATAAAATCTGTCTGACTCACACTGCCACAGATAGCAGAAGTCAAATGGGTTCAGCCACAGCAGAACCACTCTATAAACACTGTTGCGGCCACTTGATATTTTCTTTCAAAGTAATGTATGTAGGTTACTTATTGGTCTAATTCAAACCTCCGGGCTGCAACAGTGAGCAGTAATGTAGATTTATTATTTTCCTAGCTTTCTGAAATGTTCCATTTCTTCCGTCACGGGAAGACACAGTGTGGTGATTTTATTTTAATCACAAAAGGGTCCGTGCAAAATGATTAAGCAGGCAGTAGCTTTTCTAAAACAAACACGAGTCCAGATTTGTATTTGTTTACACTACAGAAGACAGAAGGAGTGAGTTGGTCACGCCTAGCACTTACCACTTTCTGTAGGCCGTCCATGAGGTTACTGACAACAACACGGAGGCCTTTGAGCTCCTGGAACATGGTGCTTAGTTCCTCACAGGAGCGTTCACACATATCCGTGCCCAGCTCATCTGCCTTCTGACCGATGATGTTTGTAGTGATGGAGGGGCTCACATCTACAATTTCTGTGCTCTCACTCACAAGATTAGCATCATCTGTTGGGGCAAAAGAAAAAAAAAAAAGAGCGGAAAAAAACAGAGAGATCAACACAGACCGGTGATGGAAAACACATTTGAAAGATATGACGATTAAAACTCAGAGGAGGGAACAGATCATTTTCCTGTTTGTGTAGTCGGCAAGAAATAACTTTTTTTTTTTTGGATTTTGTATTTCCCTGAAAACAGATGTAGAAATTCAGCAATGTTTGAGGTAAAAAAATTTAACCCTTTGAAATGGGTGACTATAAATCTTGCTGGTGGCAGCAAGAGCTGGCTAGGGAAGAATGAAAAAGAAGAGTAGAGCTCCACAAGTAAATGTTAAACATTGAACACTTTTAACCTAACACAGTGGAGAGTCCACACAGATTAGCAGGGAGCCTGTGAAGCTCATAAGAACCACATACCAGATTATGCTCATCTATGCAGAATTGTGACCTTTAACCCTAAGGTTGCAGGTTGTTGCTTTTGCCTGAGGTTAGGAAAGAACTAGCATCTCAGAGTTATTGTTTTGCCCAGGAGCAAACTCGACCGTATATGTTGGTTTTAATTAACCTTTCCATCATTGAATAAACTCTAAATTGTATCGTTGGATGAATGACCTCTCAGTGACCTCACTGTCTCAGTGTAGACCCCAGCCAGAACTGCTGCTTTGGCTGCAGTACTTCTAATGAGTTTTTGTTTGGTTGTTGTTAGCTGTTAGCAATCAGTCAGATCTCCAGCAACAGAACACTCTCAGTGCAGTGAGAGAGAGAGATTGGTTGAAGGTGCATGATTGCTATGATGTGTGTGACAGATCGATGCTGTGAGCTGATTGGTCCTCTGTATGTAAACCATAAGAATGGAGATAATAAGAATAAAAGCAATAATTCAATGATTCCAAAATAACTTACAGAACTATTTGAAATGAAAGTTTCATAAGACAGTCCCTGTTGGCCCCACAGGTACTACAACAGACACCAAAAAAACTTGTGAAAGTAAAATCAGCTTGGGTATTTAATAAGAGATGTGAGCTGTTGTGTGGGAGTTTCTATACACTAGCTTTTGGAGACATGCTGGACATCAGTGGTACTGCAGCCCCAACAGCATTTTTCCTGGTTCAAAAATGATGCTCAGGGAGGACTTTATCTTCTTTTATAATGTCTATGTGATATAATGAATTAGCATCACAAACTGAATGCAGTCCTCAACCCGTCCTATAGTTTTTCCTCAAACATATTAACCTAATTAGACCTTTGTAAATTTGCAGCCATAAAATCAAACATGCTGGAATGTGATGACATCCAGCCAAATTGCATGTCACACATGCAGCTGGATAGTGCTGTGTAAATCGTGGTGATTAATAGCAGAGCTGGGACTCTCAGTCACCCTCACTGTGCAGTGATGCCCTGCTCCAGCATGGCAGTGACTTTCCCTTCCACTCTGCTGGAGTCATTCAGGTCTCAGGAGGACTTCATACTGTGTGCGTGTGTGAACGCGTGTTGGCTCGTCTGTGAAAGCATTTACACATTCTTGTCTCCCTGATAGACATGCTCAATTTTCTCATTTAAGATGAAGAGAGGAATTTGAAGGAGCACAAAGCCTGACGTGGCTCTAATGCTGCTCATTAATATCCATCACGACAGGACTTTAAAACTGCGGGTTGTGCAGGTTTATGAGCACAACTAAAATCCCTACCGTTGCAGAACAGCGACTAGAACCAGCTAGTCCACAACTTTTACAACTTGCTGACTTTTTTTCCAGAAAAAGATAAATAATTTAACACTACTTTTAGCAGTAGGATTTCTACAAACCACCCACTGCTGTTGGGTGTGCTTTATCACAGTGAATCCATGACACTGCTTTCAGCTCTTGATGTCTGTGGATGATGTATATTCTTCTTTGCTCAAATATCTGTAGTTTTGTAGCTGCTGTTGCTCTTTGTGTGATCCCTGTGGAGTACCACAAGGTAGAGAGCAAAGCTTGGGCTCAGGGAAGCAATCTGATCGGCCAATTCATGACTTCACTGCGTGTGAGAGCTCAGTGGAGCCTTCATTTTCTCTATTCTCGCTCTTTCCCAGGGATTTGACACCGTGTCTACTGCCAATGGAAATAAATGCAGGCATGTGCATCTTTACTTCACCAGGCACGTTACTCTACCTCTCTGTCAATAAATGTTGGATTGGGGATCCAAATTATAAAAACTTCATTCTAATTTGGCTCATTTTAATAGAAAGAAAATCAGATGATTTGAGACTTTATAAACCACAGATAGTGTGCCTTTAGGTTTGCATGTGAAGTCACATCACATCATGGCCTGAGGTATTTTTCAAGTGATAGTGACTTATTGATCCTATAAAATAAGAAGTAATCACAATAATCTTCTAGAAGCATTGTTTTTTTGTTTTGGAAAAATATACTGTTTTAAACACAGAGAATCGGTCTTACCTTCTGTGGTGATCTCACAGTCCCTGCTCTGGAGGACTTCTTCCACTGGGGTGTCAAAGATGAAGCGTACATTCTGCAGAAGACCCTGTGAGATGGAAGAAATATTAGGGATATCTAGTGAAAGGAAATGATTCAGGGTTCTCTTGTTTGTTGCCCACTCTTGTTTAAATGAGAATTAGAAATCAGAGGGACGGGCTCATTTGTACTTGGGCGTAGTAATTCACTCATGACCTTATGACACACATTCACACTCAGGTTTACACACAAGGGGCAATTAAGGGTCTAAATTTGGAGTGGTTTCCACACAGGCAGAGCAGGGGAACCACTCTGCCATCCTTTGAAGAGCAACTGTGTTGGTTTTAACTTCCTGAAACAGCTGCTTATGAGCTCAGTGCACACCACAGCTTTGTTTCTTCTCTTCTTTTGAGAGGTGAAAAACTGTTTTAAGCGCGGTCCACAGATGGACTGAGGAAGTTAAACCTTAGGGAACTAAGAGGAAATCAGTAGCACTGGCCTCACCCTGAAGTGGTTTTCCCGGATTGATCCTTTTGCGACATACATGCGACTTCCCTCAGCCTTCAGGTGGTCATAGAAAGGCTCGTCCAGGATGAAGCTGTCGATCAGGCTGCAGCCCACATATAGGTTTGCGTTTTCCCCATGAATGTGAAGTGTGATATTCTTCCACTGAGAGTCGGACAGGTCCACATCCTCAAAGGAAACCACATTCTGCGAGCCATCCACCCAGTACACCAGGTCCAGAGTATTGGCCCGTCCATTGGAAACAATCTCAAACTGCCTCTGACCGTGAGGGCCCTCCAAACCAATCAGGGTGCCCCGTGAGGCCCGGTCCTGTCGCATGCTGGCCACAAACACAAAGCCTTCATTGTTTTGCATCTGTTGCAGAATTTGTTTCAGTATGGGGGGGCTGACTGGGGGTAGGTGGTCGAAGCGGATGAAGCGGTACGCAGGGATGTCAGAGTTTTGGCCCCGGAACTGTTTGGCTCCTAGAGTCTTACGTGTGATGTGGCTTATTTCAAACAAGTCAAAGGCTGTCTCATCCTCCTGCTCACCATCTATTATTAACAGAAGAGAAAATACAGATGGGAAATAATATTTGTTTTAATTAAAATTTAAATATATCAGGACAAATCAACATTAGAAAATGTCAAGAAAGACGGGAAAAGGTGAAGAGGTGAGGCAGAGACTTAAGTTTCTGATGATAATAAAATAATAAATAAAAAAATACTTTGACTTCCATTGAAGTATGGCATTTACATGTATTTCTGACAAACAGTAAAGGCGTTTAGGTTTCCCTCTTACCTTTAGGTAATGCATGGAGGAGATGAAATGACAGAAGCAGCAAGAAGAGACTCCTCCTGAGTATCATGTCTTAAAAAAACAGAATGTTTTTCCATTCATTTATCAAGAAGTCATCTTAAACAATTACATACCGATTCAAAACAAAAGAGAAAAAAATATTTAAATTGCAATTTGAATAAACGTTTTAACTTCATTAACTTAGACTGTTATCGTTCGATGAAGGGAATCTCGAGTCTTAATTATGAAACAACGTTTCCATAATGTGCGTCCTGCTGTAACTTACCTGACAAAGGTAGTTGTTTTCGATTCTTTCTTCAGTTATTTACCTAATTATCCGACAGAACCATTTAAAAAAATGTCAAATACAAATTTCTTGGTCTGGGTCGATGACCAATCAGATATCAGTTTCTCCAAAAAATAGACGAAAAACCTCGTGCGTAAAATGCGTAAAAGTCCACTTAGGTTTGGTGCAGTACATCCACAGTCAGCGGTACTTGAGGCACAACAGAGACTCCGGCTCCAGGCTCCCTCCTCTTTATATAGAGAGCAGCCGAGCGCCTGTCAATCACACGTTCTCCGTGAGTTCGAATCGATCGTGATCGGTTGTTAGGAGACAGATTACATAATTGCCCTTCCGATGGCGTAATTTACTGATGCACGTTGACACTCTGAGGGTGGTGAGGGCGATCCCTGACCCCTCCTCCCCTCCTGTCTCTGTTTGTGTGCCGTGATGCCCAGTGTCCCCCTCCCTGTCAGACCGACCTTCCCCTCTTATGTCTGGAGCTCATTCACTATCAGAGGAGGACGAAGGGGAAGGAGGGAATGGAGAGGAAAGTTAAAGCAGCAGGAGTCTCCTGGAGAAGACACAATAATGCCCCC